TGTATTTGGTCTACGAAAAACCCATAAATATTATTACTTCATTGTGTGGACACCCCATGGGCTACTTGCGGACACAGATTTTTGGACAACCAAGATGCTGCCAAAATTGAAACGTTTTTACGTAGACCAGATGGCCAAATTTCTCATAAAAAAAATTTAGCATAGTTCGTTCTGTACGCTCTGACTACCCCCCGCTCGGATGCAAGAATCCAATCTTCTCCTCATCGATTCACTAAAATTCAAATTAATCAAATTTCTCAAATTTTCAAAAAGAAACAAAGCTCTTTAAATTTTTGCCGCATGTTTAATAATCACCCTGTATAGACTATACCCAGCTGTCAATTAGCGAAAACCTAAAGTTTAGTGGCTCATCAGGGGTCGAGATCTCGGTCGATTTATAAAACGCATTTTCATATAAAACCTACATTCATACATTCTTGACTTGAAAGGGAATGGCTTTCAGCTTTCAGATTAAGCGATCCAGGAATAAACACGATAGTGCGAATCTCACGCGGAAAATCCGAAGGTTCTACGATATTCCGTCGCCAAGTTCTCGATCGATTTATAAAATGCAAAGAGGTAGGATGACTGCGGAGTGCGGCTGCAATACCCCCCACGCCGGCAACAAAACGGACCGCCCACAATTTAAAAGTTACAGGAAAACGTATAAACCACCTTAAACCTTAAGTATCCCGTATTAGGTCACCTTCCCCTACCTAAATAGTAGTCGAACTGGTATGGCTTTGCGCAACGGTGAAAACGCATGACATGACATTTAGATACGTTTAGGCTCATATCGTTCCTGCTACACCACCGAAGAACGTTGTTGAGGGAATTTTGTAGAGACACGGCGTCCGAGGTGGAGGTAATGATGGAATAAAGCGAGGGGTAATTCGCAGGGGAAATCTCGGTACACTAGTGAGGAAATCACGAGGAAGTCATGATGAAATTACTAGAAATCGGAGGAAATCAAGAGAAATCGCGGGAAATCACGGGAAATCATTGGAAATCAAGGAAATCTAGAAGGAAATCAAAGGTATTCAAGGGAAATCATTTACAAATGCTGAATGCTCATGCGCAGTTGCGTTACTCAAAATGCTGTGTGAACGTTTATGTTTAGTACCTATATAATGCTTATAATGTATACAGGATCGGATAACTGATTAGGTCGGGGTATTTCTCCTGAAAGGGTCCAAGTCCAAATCATATTGGGGAAGAATAATTTCCGTGCTATTTGAAGTATTATACTTATATGCTTATACAGGGTGTTTTTTAAGATGAGCCAAATGACAATGGTGAGTTATTTAAAATGGGCCATAGGAAAATTTACATTGCCCCAATTGTTCCCAAATCTTGGCCTTGCCATTAGTTATTTCACTGACAGTTATCGATCTCAATCCCTCAAACTGCATCAACGAAGCAGTAACATGTACTCCGCTGCTGGAAATTAGATGTTCATGTAGTACCATTTGTACAAGAGTGGACACGGTAGCCCAGTGGTATGCGAGCTATTCAGTGCGGAGTATCGGGTATTGTTTGGTTGCCGGTGGAACACAATTCGAGCACCGATTGTAATCTTATACGTTTATATCTGATTTGAATAAAATAATTGTTCATTTAGAAACAATTTCTACAGTACTATGGGAAATGATTCGCGAGGAAGCTATTACCGAAACAATAATTATTGCAATAATTGATGCAATGTAAATTTTAAATAACTAAACGCCGAGCTCAAGGCCTTTACATTGTCGTATGACCCGTCTTAAAAAAACACCGTGTAATTAATATTCTACACTTCTGTAGAAATATTATATTAGTTCAACAATAGTTATTTGTGTACCAAGGCCGTAAAAGTGATCTTTTTTGGCCGAAGCTGCTGTTTGTGGCCGAGGCGGTAGCCGAGGCCGCAATTCAGATGAGGCCTAACAAATCACTTTTGGCCAAGGTGCACACAACATTTTTTAGGCGATCATCAAAAAAGAATCCAAAAATTTGCTCATAAACATATTTTTCCTGAAAATCATAGTTATCTTAGACAATTAAAAACAAAGCATTTCCTGTCGTATGTAATAAATTATAATTAGCATCTTTGCGTGTGTTTTGTGCGTATCAAAATGGGTGATAGCGACAGTTCAGATACCCCAAATGAAATTTTGGAAGCTGCAAGCGTTGCGACCCTAAGTCATATCATTGATTAACATATAACGAGGAAGATAGACAACCACGCGGCACAATTTGCGCCGATTGCATGTTCTACTCGTTAGGATAGTTTGCATCGTCCATCTGCAGCATGGTACATGAACTAAAACGCAATTATCTCATACTTCCTCGCAGATTTCTACGTACCTAATAGCACTTTTAAAATCCAGGTCCGTAGTAGAAATTTATAAGCATACATAATAACCGATCAGCTCAAGTTTAAGTATTTAATTATAAGATAGTCTGCAGTCATAGATAAAAGACATAGGTATCACATATCTGTGCCGCAGTGAAATAATTGCGCAAATTCAAACGTCAGCATTTAATTTCATGTGTAAGATAAACAACGTCGTGCAAGACGCCGTGCATCAAAGATGCCGACTCTTCACCGCACACATTTATTGTTTCATTATGCAGAATTTTGCAAAATCAGCTGTCCCCTGATTTATCTTACGTGTTAAGCGAGGTACGAGAATAAACACGAAATCGTATTGTAATTGAAATGTAATGTCTAAACTCTAAAGGTTTTGTAGTACCCGCCGTACCCTGTACCCGGAGCCTATACATGCGTTTAATGTGCCTAAATCGTGTTTGTAAAAACTAGTAAAATAATAATCATTATTGCAGTATCAACTATAAAACTATTAGCGGATAAATTTGTATGTGCGGATAGTGAAAAAAGTGTGTAGGTATTACATCTTTTGTTAGCCCATCGTATAAATTTAGACCAAGATCGCGTACGGTATACTCTTTGGATATTTGATTACTACCTATGCATGCGATTATGATAAATTGAAATGTAAAGTAAAAGTGTAAGTTTATTAAGTTGTTTATAACGATATCCGTATGCCGAGTTTATAAAAAGGAAGTTCGCAAAAAGCAAATCCGGCGGAAAATCTTCGGTATACCTGTAGTGCGATCACTAAAATAAAAGAAAATATTAAATTTGCAATGATATTGTACCGTATATTTTGATAATTTATTACATAAAATACTCGAATACCAATCGGCTAGGACTAAGTACAATGTGATCAAAAATGCCTGACCAAAAAAAATCGATTTTTAAGATACATGTTTCTAATATCTACTACCACGTATGTCATATATTATAATAAATACATATATCAGTATATTTTATAAAATATTAAAACCGCGTTTAAGAATGTCAAAAGTAGTAGTAGATATTGGCAATATGTACCCTAATAATCGATTTTTTCCGGTCACGCATTTTTTGATCACATTGTATATTATAACTTTAAAAATATATGTAAATAAATTATGTAATATATTACATAATCGCGCACGGTTTGAAAATGACTTAAAACTAAATTTACATCTTGTAAAGACTATTTACAAAAATGCATAAGGTTCTCGTGGGTAGTAATGTCAAAAAGTAATATTGAAAATAAGAACTCTTTTTTAATCGCGTACTGTACGTAGCAATATTCATGTATGGGTTTTAATAGCTATTTATTATACAAGGGGGAAAAGTAGTAGATTTTAGCGCGAGCGCGATGTTTGATTCCCGACGCGAAGCGGAGGGAAGCAATCGCGAGAGCGCTAAAATCTAATTTTCCACCGTGCACTCATAAAAATCATTTGGGAAATTTACCTTTAAAATAAGGGGCAACTATGTTACCTCTTATCTTAAAGGTATTTTTTTCTGTAAAGTATTTCTGCCTAAAAAAGTGTAATATTACCTTTCATTGTGAAATATATCGGGTAAATTTCCATGCTATGTAATATTACCTAATAAATTTACATTTGCCGTGTAATATTACCTTTCATAGTGAAAAATATGGAGTAATAATGTCCATGCAATGTAATATTACCTAACAAATTTACATTTGTCGGGTAAGTTTCACAGTAATTTTACCTACGAAGTAAAAATGTACAGGAAAATTGCCATAAAAATTACATTTGGAAGGTAAAGCTTCCTGGTAATTTTACACACAATGAAAAATCTTTGGGAAATTTACCTACTTAAAATAAATACCTAAATATATTATAAATTTATTCATTTGTTTAAATTGCCACAGTAATTTTGCAGTTAAAAATTACGAAATTTTTTCTCAAAAATTATAAAGCATTGAAGATATTCGCAGTATATATGTGAGTAACTATTGGTAGCTATCCATCTTATAACGACTCAAAAAGGGGTGATATTGACTAAGTGGATTGATAAAGACACTAAACCTTCCCCATACTTCTTTTAATTATTTCAGGTATTAGATTAAAGGCATTAGGTGACAGCGACTATAGTTTCGACCCGAAGGTCATTATCAAGCTGAAATATTATAATTTGAAACAATGACTAAGACCTAGGTGACCTACCTTAAGTTTAAAGGAACATATAAAGGTGGTTGAAAATTACATATTAAAATGGTACATTTGGTTATCAATATGCTGTAAAACATGTGTTAAAAACGAGTCTAGAAAATAGTTATACTTACGGGGAAAAATTACTAATTAGAACATGGGAACAATAACAATATTAACAATTTAAAAACTTTTTGTCCTCACATATTATAAAACAATTGTTTAAATTAAAGAAATCCACTTAGTCATTGTTTCAAATTATAATATTTCAGCTTGAAAATGACCTTCGGGTCGAAACTATAGTCGCTGTCACCTAATGCTTTTAATCTAATACCTGAAATAATTAAAAGAAGTATGGGGAAGGTTTAGTGTCTTTATCAATCCACTTAGTGAGTAACTATGTTACGTTGACTAGGCTTGAACACTGCAGTCGAGCACGGAACAGTTTATCTTCAATTCCCTCAAAAGATAATAAAATAATGCACGTACTATGTATATATAATAAAATCAAAAATAATACAAATAAAAAACAGTACCTAACTTATAACTTAAAAATATATACCTATATACACTAAATGAAACAAAACTTCATCTTCCTGAACCTAAAAATAAAAAAAAATGTAAATACTTAAAACATTTTGAATATACTTACGTATAATCTATAATCTCGTTGCCTATTCATCTCGCAGTTTGTTTAAAAAAGTGGCTATCTTTGCTTTCGCACACGATTTTCTATTGCGTGTGCCTTGCTGTGGGTGAATTTTTAGAAAGTAACTCTGTATCAATTCCATTGTATTCGCAATTTGTTTGGGATACTCCAGGTTAAAAATGTAATATAACGCAAACATTTGCTGCAGCGCACTCCTTAAATTGCAATTAGAGTTAACTTTCTGACCTTCCATTACGACCAGATATGTTTTTTGGTCATCATCTACAGCTAAAAAGACAAAACTGACTGCATTTTCACAGACATTATATACTAACCACTCTGTAAACATGCAATAGCAGGAGCGTTTGTCGTCGTAGACTCAATATCAGATTCGTCCTAGAAGTAAAAAAAACATTCAGTTAAAATAGAAAGGAAATTTTTTCCATTTTCCAGAGCGCACCATCATGTGGAAACCAACAGTTTTCAACTTTTGTTTTATTTTGTATCATACATCGTTGTATTCGAAATAAAAAATTTTACGCAATATAATATGTACTTTTTTGCGGGTTATATAAAAAATAAAGATTATGATTTCTCTGAAACGAAACTAAAAATCTCCCAACGATGTCTTGTAGAGCTCAAAAAATGACAATGCAAGTGTTTTAAATTTTTTTAGATTTCATTCAGAAAAAAATAAAAGCAAAATCGGTGAATATTCGGAAGACACTTTAATTGCTCCACTTTTCCATTATTTGACCATTGTCCTATTTTCTATGGTTTCCCATGATAGACATTCTTATCTTAGGCACGGTGCATATACAGTGTTTCAAAATAAAGTCCAATATTTTATCCACGTTTAGTACTCATAAAAAATATGCACGACTGCACATTTTTGTTACTATTAAAACATATTCGAAAACAGACTGCACGAGATTAATGACATAATATCGGAAATTCTTTTAACACACTATATATATTTTATATTAGGTAACGCCATTATACCTATCTTCATTTGACAAGTAAATACATGACGGAAACCATCGTTTCCAAATAAAATTGCTTGCCATATAAAGACCGATAAATTGGCCGTCAACAAAACATTCACTCAAGCCACACCTCTTCTTCCATACTGTAATAATACAAAAATACTTACACGAATATTGCAGTATAAAACTGTTAAAGTTTCCTGAAAGTATTTCACGATAATCTGCAAGACGGTCACAATTACTTCATCCTCTTCCCTATCAACGGGAATTTCCTTAATCCATTTCTTATTCAGTCCAAAAGTAAAAAACTTGTTAGATTTTGCAATTAAAGTGTCTGTTAAATTATTAATGCTATGGCCCATTAGTTTTTGGTAATGAAAATATATTCCATTTTTGCATAATAAGATCGGCCATGTTTCTTTAATACTCTGCAGTGATGGTGGTGGTAAACTATTTAAAAATAAACGTTGCTTAGGATACGATTTGTTCATCATGTCTTGTGTTATCTCGTCAAAAGTTTCAAAATCGGCTGTTCTAAGGTAATTTTCCATGTCATCGTTGGTCAAATTATTTTGTATTTCTGGTTGCCAACTTACACATCCAGATTTCAAGTTCATCATTTTTCTTCTTTTGTTGACGGGAATTGGGTTATTTTTCGGTCGCTGTAGTCGTTTTCTTGAAGCTGTTACGTACTTAATTCTTTCTTTCACCTGATTGTATGTTGTAATTGCGCCGTCTCCGATCACAGTGCCATCGTCGTCTCTATCTTGAAAAATTTTAGGGAATTTATCTACGAGTTTTCTTGCAATAATTTTGCATGCTGTGTTGGGAACAAAGCCTTCGGCCACTTCGAGCATTTCGTCAGTAACCAAATGTATCATGTCTTTTATTGACTGACGACAACGTACACCATTTTCAAAATTCTTCATTGCTGTAGAACTCATCTTTTCGTATGGAATTTTGAATGACAGCCACGTATTTTCACTTATTGTACGACTACTACAAGAGCTTGGCGTGGATGCCCTTGTGCTACCACTGTCAGTATCAAATTCAGATAGGTTTTCCACAGTTAATGCAGATGAAGCGGAATCATGCGAATGCATACTCAGATGCGTGTCATCCGCTGCTCTACTCCATTCTTCAGTTTCCTCTAGCACAAGAAAAATTTCCTTATGAAGTATTTTTACAACTTCGTCGTCATCTATTTCGGTCCCATCAGATTCCAAAACTAAGCGTACTCCGTTAATATTAAGTTTTTTGGAAGCTATAACAAATTAATAAAAATACTATGTAAAAACATTGAAACACGTTATATACCTTCAACAATGAGTGTTTTGCACAATTCTGATGTAGATTCGTTCAGGAAAACGACTTTTTTTGCTGTACGCCTTACATTCCACGTTTTGAATATATACGCCATTTTTACAGAAGATTGACTGCGAACAAAAGTAAAAAACAAACATCTCTTACAGGTGAGATTATAAGATTATAATCACAATTGCATCTTTGTAAAATGCATAATGCACTGAGGTGGCAAAGTCCACCCACCCACACTTTTGACATTACGCTTTTTACCAAATTTTCCATATAATTAGTTTTAAACTTAACTAAAATTAAATTTATGTTATGTCAACATATGCAGTAAAATAAAATAATAAAATAATATAAAATAAACAATTCCAATGACATTTCATTCAAAATACAAAACAAAGAAATTTGACAAAAATACAAAGTGTATATAAGACAAAAAAATTGGATCATGAGAGATACTACCGTAAGCATGAAAAAAATTAATCTGAATATTCGAATGGTGCCGATTTAAACGAAAATAATAACTTATTACTGGAACTTAAATACACAAATAACGGTTCATGTGATAACAGGTCACCAAAATTACACCCAGTAATAACATTATTATTTACTTTTTCAGTTTCTTCGAACAGACCTAAAGCCTTGTTCCGAGTGATTTTAACTTCATTTCCAACAAACAGTAAGTTAGTATAGAACTCATTGACTATTATATGTTTAATACGACATAATACAAAGTCATCGTCTTCTGTTTTAGCTATACATACATACATATTTTTGCTAAAAGTTATACCTCGAAATGTCACTCTTTGCGATACTAAAAGTTTTTGGTTTAGTGGTAATGGTGATGAATTAGATATGCATGCTGCTACCACAAGCTCAAAATCTTCAGAGACATATGGAACAGCATCGTCAGAAGTCGCTTTGTTAGTAAAAACGGTTCCATATCCGTGCGTCATAATTTGACTTTGCAATAATTGATGCCTTTCGGATAGAGTATGAAGCACATTTTTGAAATTTGGAGAATGCTTCAAGACATTTTTAAAATAAAGGTGTTTGCTTTCAAATCTGAGAGTCCACAAATGTTTCAATGGCCCAAATTTTTTTATTAGAAACGGGTAGTGTTTTAAGTAATGATGTTTTGGTCTTAAAGGTGTATTTGAAAACAGTGTGGTTCTCAATTCTATATAATCGTAAATCATTAAGCGCAAATGTGCTATATGAATCACCGACAGTTTTGGCGCCATTAATAGTAAATTAATTTCGCGCAATTTTAACAACATTTCCCACGCGGGTTCGTCCTCGAAAGAGAGTTCATGTAAAGCAAAGGGAAATATTTGAAGTATCCTACAATTTTCTGATGCATTACCGGGTAATTTTTCAGACTTTTTAATTGTAGGTATATTTTCATACTTTGATTCAGAGATAAACCTTATTTTTTGTATTTTGTCGTTAAAATAATCGTAGGTAAAATACTTTTTTGCAATAAGATTATTCAAGCAAAGCATAAAGTCACATTGCAACACTCCTTCATAAACATCATGAGCCAAACATGGAGGCAAACCGGGGTTACAAACATGGAAAAACATACACTTATTTAAAACAGAATCGAATTTAACACCTTTTGACGGCTCGCCTGATGTCGCTGCAATAGCCACATCTATTTCATATGAGTGTTGAGTTCTTAATGAAATGGGGTCGGTGTAACTATTTTGAACCGACATTAGTTTTTTACTAATTTCGCAGTATCGGCACATATGACTACTCGTACTAAAATTTTCCACGAAACCACCAATTTGATGACTTCCTAAGTTGTCACCGCAAACTGCAACCACTGTACCCTTTATGATCTCATCTTTTATTAAAATTCCTTCTAATTCCAAAATGTTAATATCTCGAATAATAATATCCATAACTTTATCAAAACCAAACTTTTTAATTGAACTTTCGTAACACAGCGCAACTAACTGAATATGGTCAGTTTTGCTTCTGTTGTAGGAAGGTACATTTGCAATCGTCATGTATATTCCAACAATCTTGTGAATTTTCCTGGACGAACCCAATGGATTACATATCTCAAATGCGTCTTGATAAAGTATGATCTGAAAAGCTGACGGATTATCCTTAAAAAATGTACTATTGCGGTAACATTCGCCATCAAAAAAGTCCGTATATACGTTTTTCTGACAAGTTCTTATGGTTTTCCATTGATCATAAAAATTAGTGTTTGCCATTAAGACTTTTATGGTTTCTAATATTGGGATATACATAAAAAACACCTTTTTTTTGCCACTCTTCTCTAGTAATACTTCAACAGGTTCTACGTAATTAAACTCCTTTTTGTAAAATTTTTTTCTTATGTAAGGAGACCTTAATACACCATTTGCAGAATTGTGTGCGTGATCAAATAAATTTTGGTTTTTTACGACCTTAATAACATCCGGAGATATTTTTTTAGCTTTAAGGAAGCTGCATACATTTTTTTGGCTAATGTCGTAAATATCCGATATCCCATCAATTAATGTTTGCAATGCACTATCTGTTAAAAAATGCTTGGCTTGTAAAGTCAAATAAGTATTTGCCAACGAATGTACATACGTATTCTTTAGGGCCAATTCAAAATCGCCATTTTCATTATAGTCTGTATCGTCCTCAGGTATGCTTATATCGTTTAAAAATGGATTAATATCTTCGGGGGTTACAATACTAAGTGACGAGGTATTCTTATCTGTTTTTGTCTCTGTGGCATTGTAATGGTTTCTATAAAAATGAGATTTAAAATTTGAAACACGAGAAAATTTTTTTGTGTAAGCACAATTCGAAAAAGGGCATTTTATATCAATATTATTTTTAATATGGTTATACATATGTGACAAAAACTGATTATGATTACTAGTAGCTGGGAAGTTACAATTTTCTACATTGCAAATGTACGTGTCGCTAACAGTGGCATTGCGAATTTTAACCTTTTTTTTCATATGAGTTCTATACAAATGCATCTTAAAGCTTTTATAGTTACTATACTGTAAGTAACATTTTTCGTACTTGCAGTAATATCGCACATTAACTATGTTTCTGTGCAGATACTGGTGTGTATTGTACAGTTCGATTGTTGAAAAATGTCGCGTACAAGTACAACATTTAAATACAGGCGCCATGAAAATTAAGGAATTAAATGGTAATATTTACTTACATATACGTCCGTAACCAAACGGCACCAGAGAACCACAACCACTATGAACGATATACCGACACGGTCTAAATTCACTAATTCAGTATTATAAAGGCACTCGTTACTCGTAGTTGAAAAGGTGCAATTCAGCTCACTTATTTTTAAAGCGGTTATAATGTCGCCAGCCTCGTAGTCGCATTTTATTGTTTTTGCTGATAGCGCGTTTACGCTTACACAGGAGCACTGTATTTTGTCAGAGGAAATGATCTCATCGCTTATCATAAGAATTTGTTAGTCTTTGGAATTGAGCTAGGTTAGTAGCAGATCCTGTTTACAGAGTAAATCCTAAATCCAATCGCGTAATTTCCCTGTTAATACCATTGTGCAGGTCAATCAAAATATATTGAATTGATTCTTCAATGTAAAGTCTACCGGCGTAAAATAATTTATAAGTAATATTAACCCTTATAAGAGTAAATTTATAGGCTCAGATTCAAAAATCCAACAACAGAATTTGCATTTTAAGTGGGTAAATGAATTTATAAAAGTAAGATTATGTTATGATGAAATACTATAAAAAAGGTGTTTTCGTATCTCGAAGGTGAAAATATCTTGTGGAAAAAAATTTACCATAAGATAATAGGAAAATGTCTGGCTTGTAGTACAAAAACGCGTGAGATTGGGAATATATTATGATATTTATGGTAACACCAACTTAATGTAGTAAAACTACTGCTTATTGGAAGAAGTACCTTTACCTTAGGGGCAAATGCACATCTTTTTAAGGGTAAATTCACTTTCTTATGGTAACTCCAACTTAATGTAGTAAAACTACTACTTATTGGAAGAAGTACCTTTACTTTAGGGGCAAATGCACATCTTTTTAAGGGTAAATTCACTTTCATTTTTTAGAGTGTGTATAATACACTATTTTTTTCTATACGCTTATCATGTAAGTATTAATTTCAAAAACTGAAACATGACATAACCTCTTGAGTATTTGATTTGACATTGAATAATTGTCAAATTGCATGTTTTTCAAAAAAGCGTACGGTTATAGAAAAAAACTAATCTTATAAATCAGAATGAAAGTTGTAATATTCCGAAGCCGTTAAAAAAATAAATATAATTAATAAATATTCCATTGTATATAAATAAACATTTTTACAGTTTTTAAATAATTTTTTGTTCATTTTTTACACATCATTATACACTTCGAGCGGAAAATCTTACTTTTGGTCTTATAACGTAAATAAATATTTTAGTTATAAATACGATATTAAATAAGTTCCAAACTTAATACAAATTTGTATTGTATAGCAAAAGCTAAATAACATCTGATCGGTGCGATATCTTTTTTAAAAACCATTTTAATTTACCATTATTAAATGAAAAACGAATACGGCATACAGTACGCAATCATGGTCTATATTTATACGCTGGGCTGACGGCCTATGCGTGGATTTGGTGTTTATAGAAGTATACCAAGTTGAACTTTTAGTTTACCTTTGTTTAAATAATTGCGTTATGTTTAAATCTTTAGCGTAAACAATAATGGCAAGTGAAAGATTTAGTGTCACAAGTGCAAGTCACTGTTGTGTATATGTGAACTGTAAAAATTCAAGGAAAAATTCTCCACAGTTAAGTTTTTTTAAATTTCCTGTGAAAGATGCTTCTCGATGTCAACAATGGATTATAAATTGTGGTAATGTGTTATTGCTTGACATGGATGATGACGCTCTTAAAAACAAAATATTGTGTGAAAATCATTTTCTGGCATCCTGCATTCGAAGTGGTGGGGGTAAAAAACATTTACATATCTTTGCTGTGCCCCTTAAAATCAGTGGCGTAAATAAGGACTTGGCGGCCTTGGCAGCGCCAAGGGGCGCAGGGCAGGAAAGGGGCGCGGCGTAGTTTTCCTTTTCTCATTATTTTTATTGTCGCCTCCCCTCCCTCACGCGTCGCGCTGAATACTTTTCCTGAACTGATTTATCAAAATTCAAAATACTGTTTTATTTTTATTCGTTTTCCCCTGGACCAAATAAATTTTTCTGATTCGACGGTTGCGATCGTGAGAAAAAACGCTTCATCTTTGCTAATATAACCAACTTGGTAGCTGCAATAATAACAAAGTTAGCAATGGTGCCGCCTTCGCCGTGAACACTATACAATGCTAGCATATATATTTTCACTTCTCTAAAAATTTGTAGCAATAGAAAATCTCTTTGCCAATTATTGTGGAGGGGGGGGGGGCGTAAAACTTACGTTTGCCAAGGTACGTAGCCCACCTTAGTTACGCCACTGCCTTAAAATAAATATGACGTTAAGACAAGGAGATATTGTTTTAAAGGTAAGGAATATTTTTCTTTTCTCTCAAACAGTAATCTATAACAAACCATAGGTAACGAGCTCGAAATTGATGGGTTAATCGAAGACGTTTCAAACCTTGTAGTTAAAAAATCTATCAGTGATAAAACGTACGCTGCCGCTAGTTCAAACAATTTACATTTTACGGGACAAGATTTACTAGAAACTCGTCATAATGATTCTGTTCACCTTTCTAGTTCGACTATTCTCGATGACATCATAGGTATGCCCATTGTCCAACACGTAAATCAAAATCAAGAGCAAAATTTACTTGGTTTAAAACAAAAAATTCGAAAATTAAGTAGTGCTTTGAAAAATACGAAACTAACAAATACCCGACTTCGAAAGAGGCTCTCATTTTCTATTAGTAACTCCCAATCTCAATTATATTTCAGCCTTGTCTCGTAAATAAGTAGAATAGGTAGTATCTCCGACGGCATCGAGTCTCACACAAATTCAAAGCAAATAAAAACCCCGCCCGGCCCTGCATACCTAATCCATCCTCTGAGGTTCCCCCGCATCGCATACCTTCAGTCTTCGTTTGTGTGTCGAGTCGACCGCTACGTACCACTCCGCTTTCAACCGTGTTGTTCATTAGATAAATAGGTTAATATGCCTAAGCACAGCCGTAAACGGCAACATTCTCGTAGTCGATCTAGAGAACGGGAAAATCGGCGTTTAGGAAAACGATTGGCCGAAATGCAGAGACAATTAGATGAAATTAGTAGTCGGGAAAAATGGCAACGTTTGGAGAGTATGGAGAGCTCTAGAGACGATGTTGCCGGAGAAGCGAGTGCATATTTTTCACCGTATGATAGTGATTTGTCGCCTCGCCACTCTGTTCGTGAAACAGTTAGGGTGGATGTCCACCAGTTAAACAGTAAGTACCAAATTGTACGTTTTTGGTGACGTACATTTTAAAGTGTATGTTTTTGGCAACATACATACTTGTTGTTTTTGGGGACAACATAATATTTTGAGTATGTTTTTGGTAACATACTTACCTACATTAATTTGTTGTTTTTGGTGACAACATACTTTAATGTTCAAAGTACCTATGTTTTTGGTAACATAAGTACATATATATATTTGTTGGTTTTTGGTGGCCTTTGTTTATTTTTAGTGAAAAAATAAACTTAATTTTGAAATTATGTTTTTGGCAACATATTTTTTGTACAACCTGCATGTATTTGTTGTTCGAGACATGATATTATGTGTTTTTGATAACACTTTAATATGCTTATTGTTCTGATTCTGTTTTAATACAAATTAGAAATTAACATGTCTCTTTTATTGCTTCAGATGATTCTGAACAGCAAGAAAATAATCCTCAGCCCCCGATCGTGCAATCAGAGGAAGCAAAAGGAAAATCTTTGAGTTCTGAGGTTTTGCAGATACTTGGCGATGAGCCAATAATTAAGACCGTCTTAGGACCTCCAATTTATGAGGCAGTAGTCCCTCGCTGGAGTAATATTTTACAGAATGGTTTAAGTGAGGAGAATATTCAAGTTCTTCTCCAAAAACATATAATACCCGAAAATTTTAAGTCTCTGGAGGTACCTCAGTTAAATCCCGAGGTTAAGGCAGCCTTAACTGCTCAAATACTTCGCAGAGATGAGCGCCTGGTGCGAAAACAGCAGTTTGTGACTGCAAGCATATCAGCAATTTCCCAAGCCTTAACTTTGATGCTAGCTGAAGAAGGGGGGGGCAACAACGTATATATGCAATACCTAAGTAATGCTGGCCGCCTATTGTGTCATTTACACCGTCTTGACACCATGACACGCAAAGATCTTATTTCTATAAATTTGAATAAGGATCTAAAAGATACGCTCTCTGCTGCGCCTACTGATAATTTTTTGTTTGGTCAAGCATTGGAAGAACGAGTAAAGGCTGCAAAAAACCTGGAAAAGTCAAGCGAGGAACTTAAGCAGGTTAAGCCGGAAACTGCTAAGAAACCTGTCAGTCGCACTCATTTAAACTCCAGGGGTCCAGCTCAGTTGCAGGGGAGCACCCGAGCTGGACAATATTACAAGAGACCTCATCCCTACCAACGCCAACAGCAGAAGAACCATCCAGATCAACGGACGGGAAGGAAGCCGAGGGAACTGCCCAAAACACAGATAGAGAGGTTCCGTCGACGTCGACGGTAAAGCAAGGGGTTAGTAGTGTATATGCCGGTAGATTAAAATATTTTGTAAATAAGTGGCATGAAATTACTAATGACAAATTTATTTTATCATATATTCAAGGTTATAGGTTGCCTTTTATTAAAAAGCCTATTCAAAAATATGGTTTTGTAAAAAATGGTAAATGGTCTGGTTCGGAAAAAAGTTCCATTAATTCGTCTATTGAAGACCTTTTAAAAATTGGAGCTATTAGTAAAGTAACACCATGTAAAAATCAGTATGCTTCAAAAATATTTTTAGTTCCGAAACCAGATGGAAGTCATAGGTTAATCTTAAATCTAAAATCTTTAAACAAATTTTTAAAAACTACACATTTTAAAATGGAGGATCATAAAACTGTGACTAAACTTATTCAAAAAGGCTCTTTTATGGCAACATTAGACCTTAAGGACGCCTACCATTTAATTCCAATTTTTAAACAACATAAAAAATATTTAAGATTTTATTTCAATAGTCAGCTCTATGAATATAATTGTCTACCTTTTGGTTTAAACTCTGCTCCCTTAGTATTCACCAAGATCATGAAACCAATACTAGCCTATTTAAGGAGCAGAAATCACACATGTGTACTATTTTTGGACGATTTTTTGCTATTTGGTAATTCCCAAAAGGAGTGCCATAATAATATCATGTCGACTATCAAATTATTACAAAACTTGGGTTTTATTGTTAATTACAAAAAAAGTGTATTATGTCCCTCAACTTGTGTTCGATATTTAGGATTTTTATATAATTCTACAACAATGACTGTTTCGCTACCTGAGGAAAAAATTTTTAAAGTTTTAAAATTGCTAAGAAAATTTTCAAATTCTCGAAATTGTCGAATAAGGGAATTTGCTAGATTTCTTGGTACTCTTTGTTCCATTTGTCCTGCAGTTAAATATGGTTGGGTTTATACCAAACTTTTTGAGCGTGAAAAATTC